CTAGAACATTAACCCATTAGGATCTGTAGAACATTAACCCATTAGGATCTCTAGAACATTAACCCATTAGGATATGTAGAACATTAACCCATTAGGATCTCTAGAACATTAACCCATTAGGATCTCTAGAACATTAACCCATTAGGATCTGTAGAACATTAACCCATTAGGATATGTAGAACATTAACCCATTAGGATCTCTAGAACATTAACCCATTAGGATCTGTAGAACATTAACCCATTAGGATCTGTAGAACATTAACCCATTAGGATCTCTAGAACATTAACCCAGTAGGATCTGTAGAACATTAACCCATTAGGATCTCTAGAACATTAACCCATTAGGATCTGTAGAACATTAACCCATTAGGATATGTAGAACATTAACCCATTAGGATCTCTAGAACATTAACCCATTAGGATCTGTAGAACATTAACCCATTAGGATCTGTAGAACATTAACCCATTAGGATCTCTAGAACATTAACCCAGTAGGATCTGTAGAACATTAACCCATTAGGATCTCTAGAACATTAACCCATTAGGATCTGTAGAACATTAACCCATTAGGATCTCTAGAACATTAACCCATTAGGATCTCTAGAACATTAACCCATTAGGATATGTAGAACATTAACCCATTAGGATCTCTAGAACATTAACCCATTAGGATCTCTAGAACATTAACCCATTAGGATCTCTAGAACATTAACCCATTAGGATCTGTAGAACATTAACCCATTAGGATATGTAGAACATTAACCCATTAGGATCTCTAGAACATTAACCCATTAGGATCTGTAGAACATTAACCCATTAGGATCTGTAGAACATTAACCCATTAGGATCTCTAGAACATTAACCCATTAGGATCTGTAGAACATTAACACATTAGGATCTGTAGAACATTAACCCATTAGGATCTGTAGAACATTAACCCATTAGGATCTGTAGAACATTAACCCATTAGGATCTGTAGAACATTAACCCATTAGGATCTGTAGAACATTAACCCATTAGGATCTGTAGAACATTAACCCATTAGGATCTGTAGAACATTAACCCATTAGGATCTCTAGAACATTAACCCATTAGGATCTGTAGAACATTAACCCATTAGGATATGTAGAACATTAACCCATTAGGATCTCTAGAACATTAACCCATTAGGATCTGTAGAACATTAACCCATTAGGATCTCTAGAACATTAACCCATTAGGATATGTAGAACATTAACCCATTAGGATCTCTAGAACATTAACCCATTAGGATCTGTAGAACATTAACCCATTAGGATCTGTAGAACATTAACCCATTAGGATCTGTAGAACATTAACCCATTAGGATCTGTAGAACATTAACCCATTAGGATATGTAGAACATTAACCCATTAGGATCTCTAGAACATTAACCCATTAGGATCTGTAGAACATTAACCCATTAGGATCTCTAGAACATTAACCCATTAGGATATGTAGAACATTAACCCATTAGGATCTCTAGAACATTAACCCATTAGGATCTGTAGAACATTAACCCATTAGGATCTGTAGAACATTAACCCATTAGGATATGTAGAACATTAACCCATTAGGATCTCTAGAACATTAACCCATTAGGATCTGTAGAACATTAACCCATTAGGATCTGTAGAACATTAACCCATTAGGATCTCTAGAACATTAACCCAGTAGGATCTGTAGAACATTAACCCATTAGGATCTCTAGAACATTAACCCATTAGGATCTGTAGAACATTAACCCATTAGGATATGTAGAACATTAACCCATTAGGATCTCTAGAACATTAACCCATTAGGATCTGTAGAACATTAACCCATTAGGATCTGTAGAACATTAACCCATTAGGATCTCTAGAACATTAACCCAGTAGGATCTGTAGAACATTAACCCATTAGGATCTCTAGAACATTAACCCATTAGGATCTGTAGAACATTAACCCATTAGGATCTCTAGAACATTAACCCATTAGGATCTCTAGAACATTAACCCATTAGGATCTGTAGAACATTAACCCATTAGGATCTGTAGAACATTAACCCATTAGGATCTGTAGAACATTAACCCATTAGGATATGTAGAACATTAACCCATTAGGATCTCTAGAACATTAACCCATTAGGATCTGTAGAACATTAACCCATTAGGATCTCTAGAACATTAACCCATTAGGATATGTAGAACATTAACCCATTAGGATCTCTAGAACATTAACCCATTAGGATCTCTAGAACATTAACCCATTAGGATCTGTAGAACATTAACCCATTAGGATATGTAGAACATTAACCCATTAGGATCTCTAGAACATTAACCCATTAGGATCTCTAGAACATTAACCCATTAGGATCTGTAGAACATTAACCCATTAGGATCTGTAGAACATTAACCCATTAGGATCTCTAGAACATTAACCCATTAGGATCTCTAGAACATTAACCCATTAGGATCTCTAGAACATTAACCCATTAGGATCTGTAGAACATTAACCCATTAGGATCTCTAGAACATTAACCCATTAGGATCTGTAGAACATTAACCCATTAGGATCTCTAGAACATTAACCCATTAGGATCTCTAGAACATTAACCCATTAGGATATGTAGAACATTAACCCATTAGGATCTCTAGAACATTAACCCATTAGGATCTCTAGAACATTAACCCATTAGGATCTGTAGAACATTAACCCATTAGGATCTGTAGAACATTAACCCATTAGGATATGTAGAACATTAGAACAAGGACACACAGTTGTAGAGCTGACGGTTAGTGCTCAGGCAAACAGAGGCATCACACTTCTAAGTGTTGCTACATTATTAGGCAGCAAAACACACGGACAGCCCCAGCTTTCAGGGCACATCCAAACTCCTGGTTTAGCTTGTTGTCGGTGTGTTGTTCCTGCCGGTTTTAGTGTTGTTGGCTAGCCTACAGTCTAAGGCTACGGAGCTAAAACTACAAGTAGAATCAGGAGTTTCATAAACCGTACCTGCAAACAGGCTCGTCTGAAAGTCTATGTTCTGAAAATCACAACAGTCAAGAATACAAAAGCAAAGGGAGAAACAAGTCAGCTGCAATCAAGATCAAGCGACTCACACCAGACACATGAAGCCCAGTGAGGAGAATGACAGGAAAATCAGAAGACGGAGATGGAAAAGCCCTTCGGTTTTACCTTTTGCAAGCAGTGATGGAATATGGCATCAAAATAATAAAAAGCATCTATAAAAGCACCCCCTGTTACTGGGGGAGTACTATTACTGTCCTGTACCTTCAACTCTGGGTACTCGGTACCAGAGTAAATTGGACCTTTTAGAAACCAGTGGCAGAAAAGGGAACACAACCACTTCTACCAGGAAACAGCCCGGATCAATTGCTCCTGCCAGTCGTCTCTTACCAGAACATCGTGGTTTAAGGTTACCGGAGGATACAGAATTCCAGTTGCTGATAGTTTAAATAAAAACCTTAAAAAACTTGAACACAGATGGTCTCCTAATGGTGCACCTGAACATTTAGACTAATCAGTACACATATGAACTTTACCACTTGGGAACATACTTTGGATGCTGTAATTAGAGATTTGTTAATAGTAAAAGTTTTCCTGGCAACAGGATATAGAAGCATGACATCACGCTTTTAATACACTTAAACAGAAGAGTGAGAAAAACATTCACCCCCTCAGAGTTGTCACGAGTGTAAACTAGATCATTTAAACCAAAAACATGTTCTGGTACCAGGCTGTAAACATGTTTATTTCTGCTGTGAAATTGGTATTTTTAACATGGGAGTCAATGAGGATTTGCTCGCTTCTGACACCAGCCCCTAGTGGATGAGAGTGGAACTGCAATTTATTTCACTTCCGGGTTTGACTCAATTTCTGAGCTGCACTGTGGGGGCCTGGTCTATACTGACAAATATTTTAGTGAATGGCTGTGCATGTCTGTGCTGACTACCAGAGAGCATGCTGCTTAATTTAGTGTAGAAACAGCAGCCAACAGTGCATAAAATAATCCCATTTCATTCTATGTGAAGAAACAAAATAGTCTTTGTCTAAACACTCGTATGACTTTTTTGCTGATCTGGAAATATCCTTTTGTACGTTCTTGCTGTGTTTGACTTCTAATTCCATTTTTGGTTCTTTTTTAAACACAGAAAAAGGTTCTCTTTACCTTGCTGATGTTTCGTTTGCAGCTGCAAGCGTCCTCAGAGCTGACGCTGATGGTGGCATCACTTCCTACTCCGTTTATCCGCGGGCAGCAGAGGACGTTGTCGCCCTCTGCTGCCTGCTCTCCCCTCTCTGATGATACACAAGGATCATAAACACCGAACAACAGAAATACAAAAGATGGATAAAGGAAGCTATAGAGATAGAGACGTGGATGTGGGACCATGAACAGGGACGACGGAGTTTACACGCTGGACCACGCATGGGAATGCATCATCGGAGAGGGGAGAGCGGACAGCAGAGGGCGACAACGTCCTCTGCTGCCCGCGGATAAACGGAGTAGGAAGTGACGCCACCATCAGCGTCAGCCTGAAGAAGCCGGCAGCCGTCGGCGAAACCGTAGCTACAAACAGGTAAACAAAACTGTTTCTGTGTTTAAAAAGAACGAAAGCATGGATTCTGTTAACCTTCTCAGTGGCCTAGTGCTAGAGGGTCCGCCCTGGGGTTAGGGGGTAAAACCACCAAATAGTTCCCGAGCGCAGCCACTGCTGCAGCTCACCGCTCCCCATGAGGATGGGTCGAATGTGGAGATGAATTTCATGTGTGTGATGATGACTAATGGGACTTTAACTGTAATGCTCTACTAATAATAAAACGTTTCCCACTAACGACACATATGCGTACACCAACACACACTTCTGATGTAGAAGAGTGTGTGTTGGTGTCCATCAGCAGGACTGAGAGGTTTGTGGAAGTCTACTGGTGTAAACGTGAGTTTGTGTCTGCCTCCGCATGAGGATGGTCAGACCTCTCACCTCCTGCAGCAGGTCGGCCTGCTCGATGGCCTTCAGGACGTTCTTTTTGGATGTCTCCTGAGCCTCTCCACCCAGCAGGAACTCATCCAGTATGAAGTAGGCCTTCTCAAAGTTGAAAATTATGTCTAGCTCACAAACCTGTTGACCAAAACAAAAAGAATAAACATTCCAGCTTATTATGTTACTTCAAGGCAAACACAAGAAGCATGAAGGGAAATACTGTAAAATAAAAGCACAAACGCACACTGCCAAAGTATTTATCCAGCAGCTCCACGTATCGGTGGATGATTTCCAGCGTGATGAGCTCATTGTCCTGGCCCTCAATGGCACAGCAGAAGTACAGGCTGGCATATCTGTAACATGATGATAAGACAACGAGCAGAGCATCAGCAGCTCAACAAGCCTCTTTCACCGTAAAAATGCAGTCAACCAGACAAAAGTGACTGCAAGGACTTTGGTTCGACGGGATGTTTTAGCGATATACTTTCTGTCCTTCTCACCTAAATGGTGCTGAGACAGCACTCCGTGCTTCTTATTAAACATGGCTGCCTACTGCGTGCAGGTATTCATTAAAGAGCTGGAAACCGGAGCAGAATGCTGAATCAGTTAAGCTCCATTCTGCCGTGGTTCTTTATCCCCGATAATCCCAAAGGCTCTCTTTAAGCATGTGATGATTGGCTAATAAAGGAGTTGGTCAGTTGATCTCCTTGGAGACAGGGGCAGAAGGGCAAATGGACTGCAGAGTTTAAACAAGCGAGCGTTTCAGAGTGACCCAGATCTGAAACTAACACAGAGACGACTTCCTGCAGGTACTGAAATCGGTTACCTGTCTCTGGTTCCATTTAGTCATTTATCTCACTGAGTGGGTCATTGTAGTCAAGTTCAGGAAACATAAAGACCACAGCTCTGACTCTCAACTGCCTACGATTTAAAGACAGGAGGCAAAGCCTCCAGTTGAAGCTCCTTTGTGCCAGATCTATGGAAGCCCTGAAAGGCAAACAAAAATAACAAATAAAGGGCTGTGTCATTTTTTTGAGTCAGACCTTATTTCTCTTTTTCACTTCATGACTTTCAAGCAGAAATAAATGTTTTCAGAGGGAGACAAAAGCTTTCTAAAATACTTAGGATTTTTTTGTGAAAGAAGCAGAAAAAGAAAAGTCGAGCCCCGAAATGCAGATAAAAGTAAAATGATCGTATCCATTTTCAAAGGCTGTCCATAAATATATTTTATCTCGCGCCTTTACAAAAGTGAGTTTGGGGGAAAAATCTAGAATAATAAGTATTTTGTGCTTTTTGGCTTCTACTAGAGATAAAAGCAAATATTTTTTGGAAGTTTGAAACCAAAGCAAATTGACGTACTATTAACTATTATTCTGTTTGCCATTCGGAGCTTCCGTACGTGTTTCACCGGAAGGTGGACTTTGAAACATTCGACAGTTTTGTGGTTCTTGGCACGTACACAGACTCACCCATAACAACTATTACTGTGGATAGTGGTGCCTAAGAGTTTTAAAGACAATGATGCTGTTATCTGTTGTGGCACAAAGCTCTGAAAATTTACTACATAACAACAAAACCATAAAGCAGCCAAATCAGGTAAAACTCTGCATTTATGTCAACTGGTAAAAGGAATTCTAACTGGAGTACTGGTACACAAACCCGTACACCTTTTGGGGACATGATGTTTCTAGTTCTGAGCATTTCATGGTGTTGAGAAACTCTGGAGCTAAATTCCAACTTCTTCCTTAACTCATTAACTGCCAATGACAACTAAAGTCAACATTTGCATTTTTTACTGAGTGGGCATCAGAACGAGCCCCCGCACCGTGAGAACAAACATCCCAGCTCTAAAGCCGGTCTTCATCCACGTATGTCACACGTCACGTGACCAGGAAGCAGAACATCCATGTGTTAGGAGATCGTTTTGGGCCGCTGCTGTAAAAAAGTGAGGCAGGCTGAATATAGATCCTGATTGTAATTTCTTTAGCAGTAACACAAATGAATGTAAGTATTATTCAGATGAGCAACTTAAAAACACAATCAAGGTAGAAAAGGGTAAAAATGGTTCACTTTAATAGTCGAAGCTTATATGCAAACTTTCAAGCCTTAAAAGACTACGTAGCTCAGTTTGAACAACTATTCAGGGTAATAGCCATATCAGAGACCTGGATAACTCCTGGAAAAGAAGAAGACTTTAAAATAAATGGATTTGAATTTCTTCATGTAGACAGGATCAACAAGAGGGGGGGGGGGGCTTATATTAATAAAAACCTAAAATATGAAAGAACGGGAAGAATGACGACTGTTGATGGAGTGATGGAATGTTTAACAGTGGAAATAAGTATGGAAAAAGGGAAACATTGAATTGTCGGTTGTATATACAGAACACCAGGATCCAAGATTGAGATATTTAAGGATTATATGGAGGAATTATTTACAAATATTAATCAGAAAAGAATGTTTATTTGTGGGGATTTTAATATTGACCTATTGAATCCAAATCATAAGAGTACTGAAGAATTTATTGATTCCATGTACAGCATGGGTTTATTTCCGCTGATAACAAGACCGACCAGAATAACATCTCATTGTGCAACTCTAATAGATAAAATATTTACAAATACAATAGAAGAAAATATGAAAAGTGGGCTGTTACTCAACGATATAACTGATCATTTACCAGTCTGTGTGTCTTATAATTGCCACCATGAAGTGAACAATGATGGGCACAAGATTAGGTACAAAAGAATGAGAACAGAGAGGACATTAAACTGTCTTAGAAATGAACTTGTAAAGCATGAATGGAATATGGTATATGAACAAACAGAAGCTAATGAGGCGTATGAAGTATTTTTAAGAACATTTAACACATTACTTGATAAAAACTGTCCAGTAATTGAAATCAACAGGAAACACAACTATGCAGGAAGACCACGGATGACTAAAGACTACAAAATGCTAGTAAAAAAAGAATACCCTGTATCGAGAATTCATAAAAAAGAGAACAAGGCAGTGGAGGGCTTTACTGATCAGGAAACAGCTGGCAGTGAATGAGTTAAAGAGCAAGTCACCCCCAAATAAACTTTTTTGCTGACAAACTATATATGGGGCGATGGTGGCACAGGAGTTAAGTGCTCGCCCCGTAATCGGAAGGTTGCAGGTTCGAGCCCCGCTCAGTCTGTCGCTGTCGTTGTGTCCTTGAGCAAGACACTTAACCCACGTTGCCTGCTGGTGGTGGTCGGAGGGACCGGTGGCGCCAGTGCTCGGCAGCCTCGCCTCTGTCAGTGCGCCCCAGGGCAGCTGTGGCTACATCGTAGCTCATCCCCACCAGTGTGTGAATGTGTGTGAATGGGTGAATGACTGATTGTGTTGTAAAGCGCCTTGGGGGGTTCCAGGACTCTAGAAGGCGCTATATCAAATACAGGCCATTTACCATTTACCATAAACGAGTGTCTAATCTTGCTGTAGACACATGGAGTCAATAATTTGGCACTTAAGTACATCTTAGTTCATATTTAAATATTCTGCCTAAAACTGTCAGTGTTGTGCCCTCTTCAGGTAAAAACTCTGCACTGCAATTTAAATCTGCCATCGCTATTTGCTAAGAGGTAGTACTATGAGGTTAGCTGGTACATTATGATGTCACAATGTCGTTGTAAGCCTGTGTGTGTGTGTGACAATTTTTTTAGTGGTTCCACCCTCTCGGTCTGCTAGGCAACAGCATTTGTTGCATTTTTCAAACAAAAAGTGGCAGTGGAGTAAACTTCTGGTAGGGGGTGACTTGCTCTTTAATAAACAAGACTGTATAAATATGAATTAGAACTAGTTTGATGATTAGCTGTTCATTTAGTGTAAAGAGCAAGTCCTCCCCAAATCAACTTTTTGTGCTGATTAACTATATAAATGAGTGTCTAATCGTGCTGTAGACACACGTCATCAATAATTTGGCACTTTAGTGCATTTTTATGAAAATTTAAATATTCTGCATTAAACTGTCAGTGTTGTGCCGTTGTCAGGTAAAAACTCTGCACGACGTTTGAATTTAAATCTGCCATCGCTATTGGCTAACAGGTGCACTATGACGTTAGCTGGTACATTATGATGTCACAATGTTGTTGTGAGCCTGTGTGTGTATTTGTTAGCGGCTTCGCCCTCTCGGTCTGCCAGGCAACAGCATTTGTTGCATTTTTCAAACATGAAGTGGGAGTGGAGTAAGACTCTGGTAGGGGGCGACTTGCTCTTCAAGCAAAACGTTGTAAATAAGAAAATAGTCTGCATTTCTATGTCATCCTACCTGAGAGCAAAAACATTCTTAAAAGGGCGTGTGCTTAAAGAGGTGATTGGTCCAATCAGATCAAGTTCTGACCTCTCCAACAGCGTTAACTCCTAATTCAAAACAAAACAGAAAACCTCAGACATGTTAAAAGTTTTAATGATCCAACTAGAAATGAAAAACAAGCCTCTGTCTGGTTCTGGATAGTTTTGTGTTTATCTCCCTTATAGGACAACAGGGTGCTCCGATGGTCTGCCTCTTCTCCGCTGGCACAGCAACAGGCTATAATGAGGAAAAATGATGCCCTCTCTTCTTGTGGTCCGAGTTCAGTCATGATGGTTTTGTCTCTTTGCTAGCAGTACTTCCTGAATCCCATTGAACCACACATTTGAGTGGTGAGTCTATAAGCTGCCTAGATGACTGAGACAAACTCAGCATTTAAGTGTTCAACATGAAATATACATTTAATACCCGTCACTCACCTCTTATACACAATCTTCAGGTCTCTCCACTCTAAAAAGCTGCACATTTTGGGCTTCCGAGCCAGGACTGTCTGCACCAGCTCTCTGGTGATCTTCTTTTTCTCCTTGTCAGACAAAGGCACGTACCATTTCTGGAGCCTAAGCTTGCCTTGACGACTGAATAGGAGCATGAACTGCATCTGAAATGAAGAGATGACAAAACAGAGATGTGAATGAAAGGATGAGAGGAAGGAGTGGGTGGTTAGAGACATCCGCATAAAGAGGCTGGAAATAAGCATTCAAAGGAGCAAATCACACCACTTCATTGGAGCTGGAGGAAGACATTCTTATTCTGACAAGTTATGTCAAACTAAATGAATCATAACTGCAGCCAGTAGGAGCAGAAAACAATAAGGGGGGCAAATTTGACCTAAAAAAAACTATACAAAATACTACGAACAAAGTAATACAGCGTTTATTTACACCTGTTCAGAATCAAAAATACACAATTTTATTAAAACTCTCTGGAAATGTGTTTAAAAATCTTAAATAAGAGCGACTGGGTACCACAATTTCTAGTTAAGTAAGATTTAAACCTGACTGGAATAATATTCATCTTTCCGTTATCAACAGCGTCACGGAAGTGCTGCTAACACCAATATTCCAATGCTAACATTAGCATACTTGTTTGAAACACGACGTACGACCGAAAGTTTAAACATATTTTCTTTGCAAATGAAAAAAAACCCACATATTTATAACAACTTACCATGAATGACAGCACTGTACTCCCCTCTGACGACAAGAGCTGCCCACTTCCACCCTGTAACACCACCACTTAAAATTCAGGATTTGATTGGATGCCGAGGCGCTCGTGATGCCGCTCATTGGTTGAGCAACAACGCCAGATCCCGCCTTCCAGTTGCTTTAATTTAGCATCCGAACTGCCATTGGTTACTTTTTTTAGCAATCAAACAACAAGGTTGCTCCCACTTAAACTGCACAAACAAAACGCCTCGTAAATGAAATGTTTACCGTTTTCTTCCCGGATAAAAGGACTCGGAACACTGAAAACCGTTATTTCTTTACAACTAGAGAAATTCAAGTTCTTTGAAAGGTTTATATTGTATTTAAAGTCTGGGTAGGTGCTGAAAAGCAAAACTTTAGGCCAGAATAACAATATAAACTGGACCAGTTCTACACACCGTATCTATTAATCAACTCTGACAATTAATTTTGGAATAACGGCTTCTAATAAGGTTCAATAAGAAGGTTATCTAATTTATTTATTTTATTGATTTAATTATTTTTGTTTTCAAAGTTTTCCCATCAATAAATTCACTGGAAATTGGTGGATTGTATATGTATAGTTGTTGTTGTTGTTGTTGTTGGTGTGTGCGTGTGTGTGTGTGTGTGTGTGTGTGTGTGTGTGTGTGTGTGTGTGTGTGTGTGTGTGTGTGTGTGTGTGTGGAGGGCGGGTATTGCAGCTCAATAATATATGTTTTGGACATATTGGGGTGCCAGTGGTTAGGAGTTTGCTCTGTAACCAGTGGGTTGTTGGTTCCAAACTAGGCTCAGTCTATGTCAGTTGTTGGGTCCTTGGGCAAGATACTTCACACTCCTTGCCTGCTGGTGGGGGTCAGAGGGACCAGTGGCACCTGTGTGCAGCAGCCTTGCCTCTGTCAGTGTGCCCAAGGGCAGCTGTGGGTACAATGTAGCTCATCACCACCAGCACGTGATTGGATGAATCACTTACTGTAGCGCTTTGAAGTCCTATGACTCAGAAAGGCACTGTACAAGTGCAGGTTATTTATCATTTATAAATTTTAACCCTAAAACTTTTTTGCAATTTAGCAACCCTTTGGTCCAACTAGTCAGCCATAGAGTTCAACTAGTAGCCCAACAGCCCTAACTAGTAAGGTTTTTCCAGCAACTAATTGACTACTAGTTGACCAGTGAACATAACATTTCTACCAGTTAAGGCTTAAAATATTCTGTTGTCAACTAGTGTGCACTTTTATCGGTTGATGGTCAGCAAGTAAGAATATATTGTTGACAAAGTAAATATGTAAGGATTTTTGATCAACCAGTTGGACTTTTTGCTTGAAAGCCTTTAGCTCCAGCCAGGTGGACAAAAGCATCACTAGATGGCAAAACAATCTAACTAGTAAATGCCTTTACTGAACCAATGCATCAATATGTCAAACAACTTGAACAGGCAGGGACTTTAAATTAATACATAAATTACTTGCCATACAAGCCCAAATTGGAGTACGCTGCTGTGAGCCTGACCAGGATGAACTCTGGTTCTAAACCTTTGATGGGGTGGCTGCTGAAATTTAGGTACAGTATAAGTGTCCCATGTGAAGCATCTTAGTGCCACTAAAGAGTTTTAGAAGAAGCCATCACAGGCCGCGGGATTACCGTAATCCCATCCACCACAGTTGGGTATCACATGTCATTCCAGCACAGGTGAAGAAGATGGAGGTCACTACCAGTCGTGCTGCTGTGCTGCTCCTCCTGCTTCTATCTCAGAGTAAGTCATCGCACAAGAGGTGCTTTGTTTCTTTTAAATGATAGTCGCAGTAATCAATCTCAGTAATCACACAATGCTTAGAAATAAAATGCAGCTCATCAAGTTGTATCAAGAGACAAAAATGAGTTGTTAGTGAGAGTTGGAATGACGTTTTTCTTTCCTCCTTCTGCACGAAGACTAAATGTTTAGTACAGTTATGGGGATAATTACAATAATTTTGGTGTCTCTGAAAGTTTTCTAATTTTGTATTTTAATGCTTTTTTGTTCACCTGCTCAGCCCTGATCACTGTGCATTCCCAAGAGGTCAGACATCAGTTCACTAGAAGCCTAAAACGTAATTTTAAAAGTATCTGAGGGTAACCTTGGATTCACTCGTCCCTGCATGTTCATCAGGAAGAAGAGGCCATCCAGGAGGAGGAGCTGCAGGAGGAGGAGCAGCAGGTGATTGAGACATGGACACGGAAGGTCAAAGCCTGCACCTGTGACTGCATGTCCATTGATTCACCCACACCTGCTCCCATCTCACCTGTCCTGCCGATCACACTACCTCAGGGTCACGCACTGAACTGTATGCCAGGTAAGGACTCAACCAAGTTCACTTGACTTACCTGTGCTGGGTGTCCTTTATTTCATAGGCAGGTATGACAGGAGGAGATCTGTTGAAGCTAATGGACCTCCCAGTTGAAGGTTGTTTCTCCCTCTACACTTTTATCATCTGCTAAGACTCTGCAGAATTCATCAGTCATCATCTTTTACTGTATCTGAGATGGACTTGCGTTGACATTTTGCGGTATGAAAATAAACACCAGCAGCAGATGCTGTTTAGATAATCCTATTACCTGTGCAGGAATGTGATGAGCAGATTAGGGAACTCAAAATAGGGAGAGCCCTTTAGCCAGTAGAATTAGCAAGGAGGCACTCACCAGGTATCGCTCTGATCATCTTCTTCAGCCGTTTTCATTCAATTCTCCCATGTATCAAAGGTCATTGCAGCTATCAATCACACATGGGAAAGCTGAGCCAACACACTTACAGTCTTCATGTTGTATTTACAAAACTGCTGCAATGAAGTCAAATTATTTTCTTGGATTTTTATCATTTTGATAACAAATTACCACAACAATTGAAATGTTCCCACCCACAGAATGTCCATATCACAGAGCTCTGGGGTTTGAATCAGGATCCATAACCTCAGACCAGATCAGCTGCTCCAATCAGGACCAGTACACTGGCTGGTACTCCTCCTGGATCCCTAACAAGGCTCGTCTCAACAACCAAGGCTTTGGGTAAAACATGCTATTCTGTCCTGTTAACATCATGTACATAAACAGCACTGTGATATGGGTTTTCCTCCTTACAGAATTCAGTTTCATTGTTTTTGCTTTTCTACCCTGCCTTTATGTTCCAGTATCAAAGATAACACGAGTACATAGAAAATGCAAAATAATAAAAAAGGGAAAAAACTAGAATAAATCAGTACTGGGGCAAATGCGTTCTCACAGTACTGTAATCTGTAGAGTAAAACAAGGTTTTGTTAGGTGTGCATGGTTGTCCAAGTTCAACGACCAGCACCAGTGGATCCAGATTGACCTGAAGGAAGAAGGTGTGGTGTCCGGCATCCTGACCCAGGGCCGCTGCGACGCCGATGAGTGGATCACCAAATACAGCATCCAGTATCGCTCTGTGGAGACTCTCAACTGGATTTATTATAAAGACCAAACAGGAAACAACAGGGTATGCAAACAGACAAGGATACACACTTTTTTCTTTTGCTCCTAGACTTGTGAGTAAAAGATCCACTTTTCTGTCGCTTTCTTTCTCAGGTTTTCTACGGGAACTCTGACCGCATGTCCACTGTGCAGAACCTGCTGCGCCCACCAATCATAGCTCGTTTCATCCGTCTGCTGCCGCTGGGCTGGCACACCCGCATCGCCGTAAGGATGGAGCTGCTGATGTGCATGAACAAGTGCACCTGAACTGCTTCTTTTCCTCGCGGTCTAACCTTCCCCGGCCAGTCTTCCTTATGCCAACGAAAGGAGAGCGTTGTCACAGATCCAGTAACTCAAACGTGGCCTGTAACATGCACATCTGTTTTTGGCAAAGCTCAGAGAAAACTCCATCCAGGGAAGGAGGACGAATCTAGTGTCCTTTGATCCACTGTTGTTGATCTGTCCTAAAACGCAGTCTGACGGCATTTCACTCCCAGTAAAGCCAAAGGAGTAAAAAACCAGTATGGTTGTTTAATTTATTTTAAAATGAAATAAACCAAAGTTTAAGATTGTTAAATCAAATGAGCTTATTTTATTGTTGATTTACTCTTACATATGTAAACATAAATATTCTAAAATCATTAAGCTGATGTTCTCATTAGGAAAAAAGCAGAATAACACGGACTATGCTACTAATTTGTGTCTTAAACTAAAGCACAAGCTTAATAACTGATTTCATTTGAACAGCTGCTGAAGATGTTTTTGTTAATAATACCAAACAAGTAGTCACACACCAGTATTAATATAATACACAGTGCTCCCTCAACGTGAATTATTCTGTGACAGGTACCGTGTGGTCCTGTTGGACTCTGTTACAGCCTCGGTCTTCACACGCTGCACACACACGCTGCACACACACGCTGCACACACACGCTGCACACACACGCTGCACACACACACAGTCAAATCAACATCAGCTCAGCGGGAATTTACAGGTCCAGGGCAACGTTGCTGCAGCCACCTCGTCACTTCTAAGTGCAACATTTAAAAAAAGTTAGGACTGTTTCTCTGCCAACAGTTACAGTACAGACCCCCCCCCCCACCAACACTCGGAGAGGTATTAAAAAGCTCTTCCCAAGTGGTTCAACATGTGCAGCAGTCAAAACAGCAGTGCAGTGATTCCCAACCAGATTTGAGGTAACCTGGAAATATAGTGTTTGAAGCCACCTGTTACATGATTAAACACATTTTAAATGGAAATGACACAAAAGCCAGCAAGTAACAGGAGTGTGAACAGGTGCTTTAGCTGAAGTGAAAAAGGAGGGAAATCTTCTTTTGGACTCCAACAAAAGGATAGAAGAACAAAACTAGGCAGCTAAAACGTAAGCAAGGGCGATTAGCAAAGTTCAAACGAGAAAGAAAATGGGTACATGTGGGGCAGGACTTTAATGCATTCAAGTGAACATCTATATTTATTCCTATCCTCACAAAAGTTCCCTTTTCACATCATCCATCAAGGAAACAGCAGAGAAGTGGACTCGAGCCACTCTACATGAACGGGAGTCAGACTCCAGTTAAAATTTTGATGACTTTAGAGGAAGTTAAACTTTAACAACAACGTCTCTTGATTTCACTGGAACCTGACCGTGCTGACTAGAAATACTTAAGATAACATAGGTTGAACATAAAATAGTTAATATTTACTAGGAGATTAGACATCAACACTTTTACTTGTGATTAGGTTCAGTTGTGTTTGTTGCTTGTTTTGTCAAATATTTTAGGTATCAGTCACCTTTCTCTAGAAAAGATGTCTTTTTACTCTGTAATTAAAGAGCAAGTCATCCCCAAATCTACTTTTTTCTGATAAACTATATAAACGAGTGTCTAATCGTGCTGCAGATACGTGTAGTCAATAGTTTTGCACTTTAATGCATTTTAGTTAAAATTTTAATTTTCTGCCTAAAACTGTCAGTGTTGTGCCGTTGTCAGGTAAAAACTCTGCACTGCATTTGAATTTAAATCTGTCAGCGCTGTTGGCTAAGTGGTCCCGTAGAACGCTAGCTGGTGCCATACGATGTCACAATTTAGTTGTGAGCCCGTGTGTGTGTGTGTGTGTGTGTGTGTGTGTGTGTGTGTGTGTATTTGTTAGTGGCTCCGCCTTCTCGGTCTGCTAGGCAACAGCATTTGTTGCATTTTTCAAACAGGAAGTGGGAGTTGAGTAAGAATCTGGTAGGGGTGACTTGCTCTTTAAGTTACAAATTTAGTCAAATTACTTGTTTAGGATTTGAAATTCAAAGTTTAATAGTTGGACTTGGCTTGAGACTTGAATGAGTGTGAAGACTCGAGGCTTACAAATGAATGACTTGGTCCCAACTCTGGGAATTACAGTATTATATCAGAATGCCTGGAGGCGGGCGTGGCAGATTAGCAACAGTTAAAACCTACCTACCTGGTTACTCCACACACGTGTTACATGAGCATCTTTTAACTCAGAAGTGCCCCTGAAGGACTTAGTTGTTCGTCCTTTTATCAAAACGTATTTTGAGCCAAATCGTATAAAAAGGAAAACTTGATGCACTAATAATAGGGAATAAATATTGCCAGGAGATGAAAGCTAAAGCATTAATCAACAATGAACAAGTTAAAACAAACTGACCAAACTAACTTATAATGAATATTCTACATTTATAAAGTAGAAGACATGTACATATTTAACCTGTTATAGAACACAGAGGTTTAGATTCTGAGGATAAACACATAACGTGGTGTCTAAATAATCCCAAAGGTAAACAGAAGCAATAAAACGAGCAGTTGGGATTCACAACACCAACAATGGCTTTTGTGGTCATCTATCTGCTGTAAGAACTTCCTCTTATTGGAAAAAATGTTTTTGTTTAGTGTTTTTATTTATTTTAACAGCAGTTAACTGATGATGCTTAGAGTTTAGTTTTTGTATTTTAAAATCTGATCACAATTCAGCCACTTGGAAGGTTCTTCTGGAAAAACTAACAAATCTTGTGTGTGTGTGTGTGTGTGTGTGTGTGTGTGTGTGTGTGTGTGTGTGTGTGTGTGTGTGTGTGAGAGAGAGAGAGAGTGTGTGAGAGAGCGAGAGAAAGAGTGAGAGAGAGAGAGAGTGAGCGAGATAGAGGGTGAGAGAGATAGAGAGGGGGAGGGTTTGCTCAAAGGTGTGCAAATCCTAATCATCCATTTACATTTGAGGTAGTTTGAAATCTGAATATTATTATTATTATAATAATTAATCTATATGTAACTATTGTTTGCGACTGAATGACAATAGTTAATTTTTGAAAAAAGAATTCACCATACAGTTCATGATTATGATTATAAACTTGTTAATCAAGATGAGCTTAATCAGAACAGGACACACAGGGCGCAGTACACAGGTGCGTCCTACAGAGGGCAGTGTAAGCTACAACATGTTTATTTTGGTCAGTTTCAAAAATGGCTGCATTTCATAAAGACATAATGACCTAAATATCGCCAAAAGGAGTAAACAAGTTGAAGCTTTTAGGCGGTCGGATTGTTGGTACGGCTACAACGAACGCTGCATCGACTGAGCTTTTTATATCCAGAGTGACTGAGCACACCCAAGGGCAAGACGCTTGGTCAGAGTTACAATCCTGCGTGAGATGAACACCAGTAACATCAGTCCCTGTCCAGTCCCCTGGTTAAACTTTAGGAGTTAAGAATGCCTTAGAGTAGTCTAAAGGAACGACTGCACAGTAAAATCAATCATTTCATAAAACAAGAAAATACACTTCAAATCTACACTTCGTCTATCCACATGTGTGTGTGTGTGTGTGTGTGCACTGAGTTTTTAACATATTTAATTTATAATATAATACAAATTACATAACTAATCATATATAAAGTCTATCAAACATGGAAGCCTTTAAAAAATTAAGACGCAAAAGGCTTTTGGCCTGTTTGCAAGCAGAGATTACAACAGTAGGTTTGGTGTGTGTGTGTGTGTGTGTGTGTGAGTTTAGGTGTGTGTGTGTGAGAGAGAGAGTTTATGCGTGTGTGTGTGTGTGTGTGAGTTTAGGTGTGTGTGTGTGTGTGAGAGAGAGTTTATGCATGTGTGTGTGTGTGTGTGTGAGTTTAGGTGTGTGTGTGTGTGAGAGAGAGTTTATGCGTGTGTGTGTGTGTGTGTGTGAGTTTAGGTGTGTGTGTGTGTGAGAGAGAGTTTATGCGTGTGTGTGTGTGTGTGTGTGTGAGAGAGAGAGAGAGTTTATGCGTGTGTGTGTGTGTGTGTGTGTGTGTGTGTGTGTGTGTGAGTTTAGGTGTGTGTGTGTGTGAGAGAGAGTTTATGCGTGTGTGTGTGTGTGTGTGTGTGTGTGTGAGTTTAGGTGTGTGTGTGTGTGAGAGAGAGTTTATGCGTGTGTGTGTGTGTGTGTGTGTGTGTGTGAGAGAGAGAGAGTTTATGCGTGTGTGTGTGTGTGTGTGTGTGTGTGTGTGTGTGTGAGAGAGAGAGTTTATGCGTGTGTGTGTGTGTGTGTGTGTGAGTTTAGGTGTGTGTGTGTGTGAGAGAGAGTTTATGCGTGTGTGTGTGTGTGTGTGTGTGTGTGTGTGAGTTTAGGTGTGTGTGTGTGTGAGAGAGAGTTTATGCGTGTGTGTGTGTGTGTGTGTGTGTGTGTGTGTGAGTTTAGGTGTGTGTGTGTGTGAGAGAGAGTTTATGCGTGTGTGTGTGTGTGTGAGAGAGAGAGAGAGAGTTTATGCGTGTGTGTGTGTGTGTGTGTGTGTGTGTGTGTGTGAGTTTAGGTGTGTGTGTGTGTGAGAGAGAGTTTATGCGTGTGTGTGTGTGTGTGTGTGTGCAGCTGATTTACAGGGAGGTGTAAGAGCAACAGGAGGGAGGCAGAATGCTGAGGTGGATGTGAAAGCTGCAGAGAGATGGAGATTACAGAGCCGTCTCTTTCAGGTCATTAAGGTTTGGCATGCGAGACCTGGACGGGCGCCCAAAGCCGTGTCCATTCTGACCCCCCTTGACACCCATTTGCTCCGGGTAGGGGTTGCCCTCTGGGCGGCCCAGGGCAGACGAGTGCCAGCCTGACTCCAGCTGTCCCGGCAGAGGGTAGGCTGCCTGTCGGCTCTTCAGCTGAGGCGTGCTGACCCCTGAGTGACCCTGGCTTTCAGAGAAACCCCCTTGAGTGGAGGTTGAGTTAGGCAGTGGCTGGTAGCGCATATCTGAGGATGCTGTCTGGTTGGAGGAGGAGGATGAGAGGTGTAGGAGCTTGCGAAGTGACTTTAGTGGCTGACTCTGAAAAGACAAACAATCTGTTAAATAAAAACAGTTTAAAACAGAAATAATAAAACAATACTCTTCTTTCCTCTCTGGGACTCACTGGAGAATGCGAATCGGACAGCTTCTCAGGTGGCCAGCCTTTGTCTCGGTCTCGTTCTTGGTTCCGGTCTCTGCTTTTATCCCGAGTTCTGTGGCGGCTGCTCTGATGACCTGAGGACCTGGAGGACTTCTGGATGACCGCATCCATACCGTCGTTTTGAGCCTGTCAAAGGTATGCTAGTTCAGAAAATGTTTGATTTCCTTTAAAACATTTAAATGTTCTTTAGAGAAAAGATTTCTAGCGATCCATGAGATCCTTATCAGTAATGTTACCTCCCTGACTAAAGTTCATTTTAGGACTGTGGCGTTGTATTGATTGGTCTGCAGAATTCATACGAAAACACATGACACGGTACAGCTGTGTAACTGATCCCACCCTAGATCATGGTATCGTAAGTCTCACACAATCGTCACTTCCTATTAATTGTTTCATAATTTCCTTCTATTACTAGAAATAAAAGTAGTTTTTCTTGTTTTGAGCTTTAAACCTTTATGCCATTTATTCAGTCGTGTTTTGGTGACACTTGGAAGATGTGCTTCAAGCCTCTAGTTTGGGACTTTTTATAATTTACATGAAAATTGGACCAGAACAAATGCATCATTATGCTGATGACATGGCGGTTTATATCTGCTCAAACACTGTTGATGAGGTCTTTGATGGTCTGCTGTCTACATTTGACTTTGAGTGGTATTTGTTACATCTAAAACTGGTAATATAGCCAAAAACACTAAGTTGCTTTCAAATAGAAATAAAATCTCAGCATTTCTCTTCACTATCAAACCCACACAAGAAACCCTTTTAAGGGCAGCAGTAGCTCAGGAGGTAGAGCAGGTTGTCCAGTAACTAAAGGGTTTTAACCCACTTAACCCACCGTGCCTGCCGGTGTTGGTCAGAGGGACCGGTAGCACCTGTGCTCAACAGCCTTGCCTCTGTTAGTGTGCGCCAGGACAGCTGTGGCTACAATGTAGCTCATCACCATCAGTGTGTGAATGTGTGTGTGTGAATGGATGAATGACTGATTCAATTCAGTTCAAATCAAATTCAATTCAAAAATACTTTATTAATCCCAGAGGGAAACTGGTTGCTGTAGTAGCTCAGAATAATAATAATAATCAGGTCATCAAAGAGTTGTTGTATATTACAACGGCTGTTGGCAGGAAGGATCTCCAGTAGCGGTCAGTGTTGCAGCCAAACTGAAGAAGCCTCTGACTGAAGACACTCTTCCGTTGTCGGACAGTCTTGTGAAGAGAATGCTCAGGGTTGTCCATCATTTTCTTGATTCTCTGGAGAATCCTTCTTTGCATTATCTCCTCCAGCGGTTCTGAAACTCTGGCTGAGTCCTTGAAAGAGCTTGGAGTTCCTCCATCTTGTTGGCCAGTGATCCCACATCGCCCATTATGATCAATGGAAGAGATTTTTTGAATTTCCTCTTTCTCTGTCTCCGTTTTGCTCCCACTTGTCACCCACGCTTCTTGTGTTTTAGCTCATTTGGGATTTGTGGCTTCAGTTGAGGTATTATTTCAGCCTTTCCCATGTTAATCAGCTGCTCCCGATTGTAAACAGCTTGTTGCCATGGTTACGCATCATAACAAATGCTCAAAAAGTAAAAAAAAAGCTAAAAATTAGCAGTAAAAATCCTCCAAGCTTCACAGCACCAGAAACACAAAAGTAAAATGTCCAAAAAAATACAGTTTTTCTTGAGAAAGTAGAAGAAAAAATGTCCAAGAAAAGGCAAAACTTACATATAGTCAACAGAGCTACTCCAACATGCAGCCACCAAGAGCAGCGCAGTTCCATTGCGTTATAAAGCACCTTGGGAAGTTCTAGGACTGTAGAAGGTGCTATGTAAAATACAGTCAATTTACCATTTTTAATTGTGTCTCTCCCTTTAAACAAGTTGATGGTTTTACTGATGAACACGTTTCCTTTAAAGCCATAAACTGGACATCTAAGAATCTGTCCAACAATATCAGATCCTGAGTGTTTACTAATCTGAGATGGAGAGCCAATAGATCTTCTTTTGAAAATAAAAATCAAATTTTTGAGAACAAACTTAATTTTACATTTCCAGACTATCTGTGTTTTTTTAAATCAAATACAATCAAGTGTTCACCAGCTCTAACTGCCTTATTCCTTCAGGCCAGATTGCATTTATTTGTGCTCTGTCATCAGCAGTAACTCCCCCCCCAACACCCACCCACTGCCAGCCTCTGAACAAACTGTCACTTATAAATAGAAATGTGAATGGAGTCTCAAACACTGGTTTCATGCCGCACCATCACTGCTGCAGAGGTGGTAGGCAGTTTAACGTGTCAAAATATGGTGGCCTTATACTCAGGGACTGTTCTTGTATCTCCTCTCCGGTCCTGTTCTGCTCTGTTATTAACGTTTTGGTTTAGACACACTTTGAATACTTGATCAACTACTTTTTGGAAAGAAGCAAATCGTGTGTGCTTAGCCAGAAACGCTAACCAGCACGAGTAAGTTAACGAGCAAAAAATTATTACGTAAGTCTCGAAGAGGAACAAGCTTCAAATGAGTCAACAAAACGGTGCTGATGAATGTAGTAAATACTGTTAGACAGAAGACACTGGGTGGGAGGTGGGAGGGAGATTGTAAAGCAACGTGCACCCTGGGAGAAGACGGCACTACAGGAAGGACTCTCACACAGGAGTTCTTTGGACTAAAGAGGGGGAACATATATTTCTTGATGACAGGAGGCCGTCCATCAGGGACTTCCATCTGTAATTTAAAAGCACACAACCGATGGCACAGATAACAAGGATGCACATAAAACAAGACAACAACAAAAGCATTTCAGTAAAGAAGCAAAAGGACGAAGCAGTGAAAGAGAATCATGGTGTGGAGAGACGATTTATAAACGTGCATCTTTGAATTCAGATGTTTTAAACTTACCATCTGAGATTTTTTCTTTTTCTTCTTTATTGCTCTGAAGAATCCCTGCTTCTCCTTTCCTTTGGATGGCTCAGAGGCATTCAAGACTACAGTGTCTGGGCCAGTCCTGAAAGTAAAGGAACTCAGCACGGTGTCCCAGCCGAGAAGTTTTCAACAAGACCCGACAATTTGTGTCAAAGCCGCTGCTTCACATGGGCAGCATGCAGTTAAACTTGACAGCCCTGTTACAACAGCAGCAACAGCAAACTAATCTGTGTACCTGTCAAAGTTGTGAAAATGTTTCTTTTGCAAACAAATAAATAAAGTAGATTACAGTAGAAGAAAGACATTACCAGGGGTCAAACGCTGGCTGACGTTTGGAGTGGTTTGTCAAACTGCTGCCTTCCCCGGACAAGCCAGAATCCCGGTCTTGGCCCCGGCTGTCATGGAAAGAGTTGTCTGGCCTAGGAGAAGGAACTGCTCAACACACAACAAAATAAACAGATGTGACCTCTTATTTGGCAAAGGACACACACACAGGCATGAAAAACCAGTTCCACAAACGTTCGTGCTTGACTCGCTCTGTAGTGAGTATTCCATCCTCTGACCGGTGTCTCTGACTCTAACCTATCAACTAATCTTAACTGTGGTGATGAATTTTGTAGAAACTAGTTAGTTAGTTACAGTAGTTAGTTAGTTAGATAGACTCAACTTGCTACTTCTACTCACAACATGCTATACTGGAACTGTTAGGATGGTCATGCTAACCGTGTATAAAGTTGCATTCACACATCTTAAGCATTGAATTGACAGGAAGCTGTGAGAGGCACAATCCTTCAACAATGAGTAAAAAGTATTTTCTTACAGCAAAGCCTTCAGCATACATGTACAGTGTCTTTCACAGATCGTAAATGATCGTATTTTTATTAGCAGCTGTTACATTTTAACCAAAGACACAACTATAGGGAGGATCCTGTTGTCCAGAAAAAGATATCCTGATGAATATTCTAAGAATTGCCTTGAATAAACAAAGATTTATGGTCACCAGATAATGAATTCTAAGTATTTTGTGGGTCTTCTCACATTTATCCCAGGCAGAATTATCAAATAGATTTCCAATTCAAATGCCTACATAAATACCTTATTGTAACCAGTATGATCAGGGTCTCTCTGTGAAGCAGGCCTAAGGAGTGGTACCCATCTGTGTTCTGGGCTTCTCTTAGCCTTTATTTGTTGTAACAAAGCAGAAGGACTTTAGTTTCTTGGATGAGAAGATCTGGCTGTAAGGTAGTTGTTGCTTGTTGATGTTGTGGTAGACATCTGAGGTTGAGGGAGTCCCACAGAGCTTGGTCAGCTTATGGGACTTGGCCCAGACTCACTGCTGCTTAAGTAGTAGGAGACACTAGAACAATACTTTGATCAGTCTCAGAATTTTTTGGCAAACCAGCAGGCAGCAAAACCAATACTTTGTGTGGTGGATGATGTTTTTGGGAGCTGGTCAAGGCCCCAGATATTGCTAGGGACATCTTGTTTGATTGTACAAAAGTGTGGAGGTCACGGAAAGTCCCTCAAGGCTGGCAGACTGGGTGGTGTTCCCATTCAGTAAAATGTATGTACGTGCACCTGAGCAAGTCATGTGCGTGTGTGCATGCGTGTTTGTTAGTGGCTCGTTTCTACGGAGAATCTCTTCATCTCATTTGGCGGGATGGGTGGTTTGCTGTTAGTCACTGCAGCAGCGCCATCCTCATCGTCCACCATGGCAATGCCCTGGTAGGGACGTGACTTCATCTTTAATCACACTCCTCAGCCTCCCTGGTAAACTCGATGCCAGGTTGCTAGCAACGAGGGTCCACGTCATAATCCCATGTCAGATTCAGGATTAATGTACCAGCTCTTCGTCTTTATGAGGACATTTGGAATCTTACGGGAGTCTTCTGTTTGATCTGGATATAAACCCACCCCCTCACAAGACAGCGGGGGCACATTCCTTAGTTTGATTTAGTTTTTCCCTCAGCTCTGTTTATTGACTCTGCACATCATCGACTTCCCATCAGTAATCAGCTCATCTATTCCTGTTTTGGTAATCGCCATCCCACTGGTTAAAAGCATCCTCCTGTTCTCCCAGTTGCTTGTATTGTTTTCCTCACAGGTACTTTTTATTTTGGTGAAACCTTTTACAACTTCACCTGTCTGCCTCCTACTCTTTCACCTGCACCTTTGGCCCAACCAATCATGACAGGCACAGACTCCGTCGTAAGGGCCACCTGATCCCTAAACCATCAGAATGGCCGTTGTTTTTATGTTTTTGCTGACTCATTTTTAAATGAATTCAAATGTGTCAAAGGGTTTCTATGTTACTGAATCAGAATCAGAAAGGGTTTCTATGTTACTGAATCAGAATCAGAAAGGTTTTCTATGTTACTGAATCAGAATCAGAAAGGTTTTCTATGTTACTGAATCAGAATCAGAAAGGTTTTCTGTGTTACTGAATCAGAATCAGAAAGGGTTTCTATGTTACTGAATCAGAATCAGAAAGGGTTTCTATGTTACTGAATCAGAATCAGAAAGGGTTTCTATGTTAATGAATCAGAATCAGAAATGGTTTCTATGTTACTGAATCAGAATCAGAAAGGTTTTCTATGTTACTGAATCAGAATCAGAAAGGGTTTCTATGTTACTGAATCAGAATACGAAAGGGTTTCTATGTTACTGAATCAGAATCAGAAAGGGTTTCTATGTTACTGAATCAGAATCAGAAAGGGTTTCTATGTTACTGAATCAGAATCAGAAAGGTTTTCTATGTTACTGAATCAGAATCAGAAAGGTTTTCTATGTTACTGAATCAGAATCAGAAAGGGTTTCTATGTTACTGAATCAGAATCAGAAAGGGTTTCTATGTTACTGAATCAGAATCAGAAAGGTTTTCTATGTTACTGAATCAGAATCAGAAAGGTTTTCTATGTTACTGAATCAGAATCAGAAAGGTTTTCTATGTTACTGAATCAGAATCAGAAAGGGTTTCTATGTTACTGAATCAGAATCAGAAAGGGTTTCTATGTTACTGAATCAGAATCAGAAAGGTTTTCTATGTTACTGAATCAGAATCAGAAAGGTTTTCTATGTTACTGAATCAGAATCAAAAAGGTTTTCTGTGTTACTGAATCAGAATCAGAAAGGGTTTCTGTGTTACTGAATCAGAATCAGAAAGGGTTTCTGTGTTACTGAATCAGAATCAGAAAGGTTTTCTGTGTTACTGAATCAGAATCAGAAAGGTTTTCTGTGTTACTGAATCAGAATCAGAAAGGTTTTCTGTGTTACTGAATCAGAATCAGAAAGGTTTTCTGTGTTACTGAATCAGAATCAGAAAGGTTTTCTGTGTTACTGAATCAGAATCAGAAAGGTTTTCTGTGTTACTGAATCAGAATCAGAAAGGTTTTCTGTGTTACTGAATCAGAATCAGAAAGGTTTTCTGTGTTACTGAATCAGAATCAGAAAGGTTTTCTGTGTTACTGAATCAGAATCAGAAAGGTTTTCTGTGTTACTGAATCAGAATCAGAAAGGTTTTCTGTGTTACTGAATCAGAATCAGAAAGGGTTTCTATGTTACTGAATCAGAATCAGAAAGGGTATCTATGTTACTGAATCAGAATCAGAAAGGGTTTCTATGTTACTGAATCAGAATCAGAAAGGGTTTCTATGTTACTGAATCAGAATCAGAAAGGGTTTCTATGTTACTGAATCAGAATCAGAAAGGGTTTCTATGTTACTGAATCAGAATCAGAAAGGGTATCTATGTTACTGAATCAGAATCAGAAAGGGTATCTATGTTACTGAATCAGAATCAGAAAGGGTTTCTATGTTACTGAATCAGAATCAGAAAGGGTTTCTATGTTACTGAATCAGAATCAGAAAGGGTTTCTATGTTACTGAATCAGAATCAGAAAGGGTTTCTATGTTACTGAATCAGAATCAGAAAGGGTTTCTATGTTACTGAATCAGAATCAGAAAGGGTTTCTATGTTACTGAATCAGAATCAGAAAGGGTTTCTATGTTACTGAATCAGAATCAGAAAGGGTTTCTATGTTACTGAATCAGAATCAGAAAGGGTTTCTATGTTACTGAATCAGAATCAGAAAGGTTTTCTATGTTACTGAATCAGAATCAGAAAGGTTTTCTATGTTACTGAATCAGAATCAGAAAGGTTTTCTATGTTACTGAATCAGAATCAGAAAGGTTTTCTATGTTACTGAATCAGAATCAGAAAGGGTTTCTATGTTACTGAATCAGAATCAGAAAGGGTTTCTATGTTACTGAATCAGAAAGGGTTTCTATGTTACTGAATCAGAATCAGAAAGGTTTTCTATGTTACTGAATCAGAATCAGAAATGGTTTCTATGTTACTGAATCAGAATCAGAAAGGGTTTCTATGTTACTGAATCAGAATCAGAAAGGGTTTCTATGTTACTGAATCAGAATCAGAAAGGTTTTCTATGTTACTGAATCAGAATCAGAAAGGTTTTCTATGTTACTGAATCAGAATCAGAAAGGTTTTCTATGTTACTGAATCAGAATCAGAAAGGTTTTTGTAACCCAGAAGCTAGAACCTTAATGAGGTATTAACTAATTGGCTTACTAATATGATCCATCCTCAATTTAGATAAAATATAAAATATAAATTAAGGAAATTAACAATACTAATTAATAGATATCTAATTAACTAATAGATAATTTCATAATGAATTATTGGAAGGGTGAATAACTAAAATAACGAGTTTAATATTAAACATCGGTTAAAACAAGAATCTTGAACATCACTAACAGAAACAGAAGAGGAAAGCTGTATACTATTGGTCCAGGTGGGAATCTGAAATTTCATTGGCTGAGAGAAATAAGTCCCGCCTCCGCGAAATAAAACCGTGCGACGCAGCTGAGCGAGAGGAGAGACAAACGGCTGTGCAGCACGCAGATACAGAAAGCAAAGACTGAGCGGTTAGAGAGAGAGAGAGAGAGAAAAAAAAACAACGGTCGAGGCCGTGAAGAACCCTGATTTGGGTGCCGCATAGATAGAGGGAGAGGCGGACTTGACTCCTTCTAATAAGAGCTAGGAACTTGGAACCAACGCGGTGAGTAAAGAAAAAAGAAGAGAAAAAGCTAACGATGCAACTTAAAAAAAAAAAGGAAACTTAAATAGCTTATCAAATTAATTCCATTCTTATAGATTTGCGTGGAGACGACAGAGTGAACCAATCCTCTGTAGGAGGGAACCGTTGGAGCGCGTTGGTGAGTGAATGAGATTAAATTCAGTAAATTATTAAATTCAAAAAGCTAATTACAGCAACCGAGGTGACAGCAGTGGGCTGCTAGACGTTAGATCCCAGGAGTTAACATCTCAAACTACCAGTTAACGGTGGTAGGGCATATAGGAGTTAACGGCTCAAACCGCCAGTTAACGGCGGTACGGCATATGGGATTCCCAGG